TCAGGAAACAGTCCAGTACATCAAGGAGAAGCTCAGTGAGAATCTGTCTGCAGAGAAAAGCATCAATCTGTTCCACTGTCTGAATGAACTGAATGATTGTTCTCTAGTGGAGGAGATCCAAGAGTACCTGAGATCAGGACGTCTCTCTAGATATAAACTGTTTCCTACTCAGTGGTCAGCTCTGGTCTTCATCTTACTGTCATCAGAAGAAGATCTGGATGTGTTTGACCTGAAGAAATACTCTGCTTCAGAGGAGGCTCTTCTGAGGCTGCTGCCAGTGGTCAAAGCCTCCAACAAAGCTCTGTAAGTATATCTGCACATTTAAAATTTTTATTCTGACCTTCAACTCGTTGCTTCTAAATGTAGATAAAACTGAGGTTATTGTGCTTGGTTCTTAAATTCCTAGCTGGAGCCTATCCCAGCTACCAAAAGGCAGAAGACAAAAGGCAGGGTACACTCTGGACAAGTCGACAGTCTGTCACATACACACTTACATTCTCACCTTTGGGCGATTTAGAAATATTAATGAACCTATTCCCACTAACTGCATATCTTTGGACTCTGGAAGGAAGCCGAAGTACTGGGAAAGAACCCATGCAAACATGGGGAGAACATGGAAACCAACCAGGGTCTTTGCACCCAGGGATTCCACCATTTCTGAGGTGGTGGTGGAAATGAACTAAGGACTTTGTTGTTGTGAAGCAACAGTGTTAATCACAGCACCACCATGCTGCTAAAATGTGCTGCTGAAAGGTGCACACAAAGGTGCTGTTTTATTGTTTAAAGACTTTAAGTCGTTATTGTTTAAAGACTTTAAGTCTTTTAAAGACTTTAAGTCTTTAAACATTAAAACAGCATATTTGTAAAAATGATCAATAGATGGTCTTTTAAACATATGAAACAAATTGTTTCATAAGTTTAAAACAGCAAAAGGAATTTCAAAATATTTTAACCATTATAATTTTACATTTTTACATGGATTTCAACTTTGATATTTTACCACCTTTTAATAAAAGACAGTTTAAACCTGGTTGCAAACAGATAAACTGATTAACTAAAATATATAAACCAGTTAAAGAAAAACAGGAAAATGTAAAAGTAACCAAAAAAAATTACACCTAACCCTAATTAAATCAATGACTCTGACTCTCACCATCCACACATCCTGGACAGAGAGGAACGCTGGTTTGAGCGGGGAGTCAGGGAGGCAATTTACATGAAAAGGGAAAGACCATCTCTGTATCGAGGAACGGGCCTATCTGTCACCATCCTACAATGCTGTGATTGCAGCCATTCTCTAACTCTCTGTGAATGGTACTCATGGCCATTGATCAATGGTCATAATCAGTGATCAGTGGTCTTTGATCAGTGGTTGTTGATCAATGGTTATGACAAATTGCATATTAAGGATCAAGGAACAGACCTCACAAATCCATTGTTCATTAATGGTGCTAATTTCAGTCATTATGCAAATGTACTGTTTATAAGAGTGGAGGAAACCTGCAGTCAGCTGAGACTGAAGAAGTCACTTGGATGAGTGATTAAACGTTTCTCCCACTGCCAATGCTACATCCACATGAACAGAATCAGCGCTTGGGGATTTACTTACCTGGATAACTGAACGTGCATCAAGACATTTTTGCTATAATAATATCCCTTTCCCACTAGTATCTACAACGTTTGACTTGAAGCAATTTGACTCAACACATTTTTGGTTGTTTTCCATTTCAATTGAGTACCACCTAATGAGTGTAGGGTATTTATAGCAATGTGGCTCAAGGTCCCATGGCGGTATTTGTATATGATACATTTGCCACAACAAAGAACATCTAGTCAGTGGTATATCTGCTGCTCAGTATATGAATTTGTGTCGAACAGAGGCAAGTTAGCAAACTATTAGAGTTGCAGAAAGGTGCAACTAATAAGGTGTCTAAGAAGTACAGCAAGCTGTTCATACCTGAGGCCTTGGGGAACTGCCAGACAAACACTCACAGCCTGTACCACTTGAAGAAGTATGCAAGAGAGGCCATACAAGAACCATCCAAGGTGCACTCTCAGTGGCAGGGGAACAATATGAGAACAGCCGCACCATGGCCAGAGACAGAGCAGTATTAAAAGATTATATGGGAGAAAGCTGCAATCTATAACAGCCATGCTCAGTGCTAATGGATCTAAGAAGAGACCACAGAATGTTCCTCTCACTGAAAACCTTACGCCCACACGAACAGAATCCGATTCTTTAGATCATAGCAAAAATTAATTTCACTAAATACATGCTTTTATGTCATTAGTTTTTGAGATATATGTTCAAACATTGCCTCAGATAAAGTATATTTGACCAAATCTCTCAGCCCCAAACTGGTTTCCATTTAAATATATAAAATGCAATTGTGGTTTTATTGAACAAATACCAAATGTGCTAAAGTTGTCATCTGGGGAAGCAAATATACAAGATTTGATTTGATTATTGTGTTAACTATGAATTGTATTGTGTACATAAATATGTATTTTTCTTGTATATGTTCAGTGCATAAAGGTATAAAGAGATTTCATTTCATTACAAACTGCATTTGTTGTTTCAGGCTTAGTGTTCCTAACCTCTCAGAGACAGGATGTGAAGGCGTGTCCTCAGTTCTGAGATCCCAGTACTCCAGTCTGAGAGAGCTGGACCTGAGTATTAACAGCCTGGAGGATTCAGGATTTAAGATTTTTTCTACTGCATTGGAGAGTCCACATTGTAGACTGGAAACGCTCAGGTCAGATCTTGTCTTAATTTCTTTTCATTCATTTAGAAAATCAACTAATTAAAGGATTTGGCTAATAAAGTTCATTTGTATCTAATTGTTGTTGTTTCTTAAATGCATGTCCATAATAAAGTAAACAGTCTTTTTTTTCTAACATTAACACACAATAATAACGATTCTTAAAAAGAAACATAAAAAATAGATCAAAATTGAATATTGCTATTAGTAGTAGGTCTTCACTATAACTTGATTATAGTTTGACACCAATATTTGTTTTGATGTTTGTGTTTTGTTTTGTTTTTTCAGATTGAATATTTGCAACCTCTCAGAGAGAAGCTATGACACTCTGTCTTCAATTCTCAGCTCCCAGTCTTCTAGTTTAAAAGAATTGGACCTGGGTAACAATAAACTGCATTATTCAGGAGTGAAGATTTTGTCTATTGGACTGAAGAGTCTCAACTGTAAACTGAATACTCTGAGGTCAGATAAAGTAATATTTTGCTTTGCAGTAATTTGTCTGTTGTGTTCACATCTTACTAGGAAATTTCCAAAGAAAAAAAAATCAGGACTTACTGAATGTTACTGAATTTTGTAACTCCTCACCGCACCTTAACAAAAGTTGAGTTAGTTTAATTGTTTATCTTTTATTTTTCAGACTGGACCACTGTAACTCCTTAGAGAGAAGCTGTGAAGCTCTATTCTCAGTCCTCAACTCCCAATACTCTAATTTGAGAGGGCTGGACCTAAGTAACAATGATCTGCATGATTCAAAAGTGAATCTTCTCTCAGTTTCAGTGAAAGGTCCACACTGTAAACTGGAAACTCTCAGGTCAGGATTCAGACTTTTCTGTGATCACCTGTATAGATTTTGTCAAATAATCTTTTATTTAATTTTGGGTGGAATTGGGTGGAAATATAAACAAAAGATTTTTCATATTCACATTTTTGTTTATCTGTCAAAAGAATTATTTCATGTTGTGGTCAGTTTAGAGATCTAGGACTTTTTTTTAATTTATATTGCATGTTTAAGAAGAAAATTATAACTTTTATAGCAGCTTTATTCATAAAAGAAATGGCTAGCTATTCATGTCTGGGGAAAAAAACAGAGTCAGGGCTTTGCTGAGCTTCCTGGAGCCTATTTTCATTGGCAGTATTTTTCTGTAAGATTAATTTCTTTCTTCCCACCATCACCAAAACCTGCTCACATTGGATTGTCTGATTGTGGGTTAGTCTCTAACATCTTAAGGTGTTACTTATGAATAAAGTTAAATGATTTTGATTGGACTGAAGTAGTTAACTGTTGTTATATGTGACAAACAGAAAATGATTGTTGACAGATGGATGGTTGTTTTGTGTGTCTGCAGTCTGTCAGGCTGTATGATCACAGGGGAAGGGTGTACCTATCTGGCTTCAGCTCTGAGCTCCAACCCCTCTCATCTGAGAGAGCTGGACCTGAGTTACAATCATCCAGGAGACTCAGGAATGAAGCTGCTGTCGGCTGGACTGAAGGATCCAGGCTGGAGACTGGACACTCTCAGGTATGGAGAGAATGTCTGATAGAGGAGGAAGAGCTAGAAACATTTCCTGTGTCCTTCACTCACGTCCTTAGTCTTTCATGCAAATGTAACGATAGCAAAAAAGTTTTACTGGGCCATGTTAAAATAAATGTTTAGTTATTATTCTCTTGTTTGATATCAATAAGAGAGAAAATATGTACGAGACATAATTTATTGTGGATTTGGCATTAAATGTAGATTTTGTCAGACTATGGGTCGTGGTGTGTGGAAGTAGCGGACTCGAACGCAGATCTCCTTTTGCAATGAGACAGAGAATTTATTTACAGTGGGAAATAATAACAGTCCAGTGTGAAATCCTTCGGCCGTGGCTCCCCGTGGTCAATTCACCCAGACAAAAAGAGTGAGAAGTAGTGATCGGTAGATGAGGCCTCGTGAAGCGTTTCGGCACATTCCCCAAACTGTATCGATACTGTGTCGAAACAGTGTTGCTGTTTTGCTCCATACTGACACCTACTGGACCTTAAATATCATTGCAGGCAACTTACTTGAGACTCACAACAGACACTGATTCAATGACCTAGTTATATTATACTTTTATACTTGTGTACACTGTAAGGTATTGTACTTTCCATGGAATCATTTTATATGTTTTACATTGCAAGTATTGTAGAAATCTTTAAAATATACTGTGAATTGCATTAAGTCAAAATTAAATGAAAGTACTTTGAATATAATATTACCCATTTAAATGTAATTGACTCAGAGTTTATTATAAATTTCTATTCAGAAAAATAAGTTTATCCAATGTTTTTGCATTCAGTCTATTGCGTTTTTGTTTTTTGTTTTTTTGAAACCATTTCCCCAGCTTTGGAAAACTCACAGGCACAGATGAAGCTGGGGTACACAAAAACTGTAAAGCCAGGTGAAAAAGATTCTGATAAGATGTCTCCCTATTCCCCCAGTACGTTAAAGGATCCTCTGATCTTGGAATGTTCCTCTCCGACACTCTCCACAATACTAAGGGGTTGACAGTCCTTTATAATAAAATTCAGGACTGCCTGGTCCAAAAAATGATGATAAAGCTGTTCAGTGTCAATATAGGCCTACTTGTGTTCATTCTCGGTGTGTTTGTCGCCTCATTTTCACATTTGGCTCTGTAATGCCTAAACACTGAGGAGGCGCTTTTGTTTGTGTAAGAAATGCAGAACAGTTGCGACATTTAACCTGCATAAAGTGAAATAAATAATTTACACTGCAAGTCCGATTGCTGTTTTTCCTATTCTGATAGATTACACAGAAACAAAGACAGACAAACTATTTGCAGTTAAAAGATCAAAATGATCACACACAGCAGAAACATTTCTTTTTCTTTCGAGCTCCATTTTATTATGGAGAGATGTGTATTTTTATTTAGCTTTGCGAGAATAATTTTGTGGTTTTTTTGGTAGCGACACATTCTGTTGACAGATGCGGATGCTGTACCTTTTAAACACAGTTTGGCGTTTTGGCACTGAGCGACACAGTAGCTGTATCGATCACGTGACTTTTTGTTAAAGTGACACACGCACCGACACAGGCTTCACTCTGTGAGCTTGATACAAGCGCCGGTGCGTCAGTGTTGCTGGACCCATCACTAGTGAGAAGCAATCCGAAAGGGAGTATGAAAGAGCACGCGATCAA